ATTTCTTTGGTGCATCTTTCTACTATCCTGAGCAGCTGAAGTTCCGTGGAATGCTTTCCTCGGAATCCAAACTGTTCAGGCGGAAGCAAATCAAGGTCGCTCGTTTCCTCCTTGAGTCTCCTCAGTATAGCCCTTTCGGCTACTTTACTGAGAGCTACACAATGAACTGTATGCAAGTACCTGGAACGGTAGGAAATGTAGGCAACCCTCTGTCCTGACGGGTGTATGTCTCATTCTATCTCATTGACTTATACGAAGATTTGCTGCAAAATTTAGCAATTTTGGTTTTCTTTTGTGTTTCCTTCGACCGGATATTTTCTGAGAGATGATCGATTTTCTCAACTCTGAAACAACAATGTGAGGAATGAATTTTCTGGCATTGCCTAAAATCATTTGTCGCTTCAGCAAATTTTACTAATTGTTTTCCTCAAATGTCAATTTTGCTTTATAAATAATGCTTTTCCAAGAAATTTCAGGAAACGTTGCACTCCCTATAAGAAACATTAACAATAATTGGTAACCCAATAATTGGTAATGTCATTACAGTAATTGTAATTTTCGAGAAAGAGTAAAATAAATATATTTTGTATTTAAAAAGTGTCTGATAATTCAGATCAACTTTATAATTATCTGCCTCGCATGTATTGTAATGGCCTAGGGTACTCACGTTTGGAATGGGGGGGATCGAAATTGATGGTATTTCAGTAAATGGGAGCCCCATTTGCGCCCCATTGAATTGAGTTTCGGCAAATCAACTAAATTGCTTAAAATGTTCAAATGCAGGTGGATTTCTGAAATAGTTGAATCTTCTAATTCTCTTAAATTACAATTTTGCAAATTTTACAAAAATCTGATTTACTTTATTACTTAAATAATCATAAATATTTTCTTGCTCGTCTTGACTTCTTAGCGAATTAAAAAAATTATTACTGTCTTTCGATGAACTTTGAGGCTATAAATCTTCCGTTTTTCTATTTCCTGAATTACATTCATATAACTTTAAATAATGTATATGTTTACAAAATGTACAATTGTGTTTAAAGTCATCACATGTGCATCAATACATGTGAACACAGACATTACATGCATGACACACTAAAAGGCAACAATTTGATTGAAGTAGTTTATAAATCCAATATGTATTGGAACCACTTTAACTTCCCAACTACTGTCACTTATGGCTTGAACTACAAATTTACTTGCCCTTGCTTCCTGGTGCCTTTTGAAAAGGTTTTGATGGCACACAGTGTTTTTCCCTTTTACCAGTTTTATTACCCTTCCAATACTCTGATCTCATACTTATTTTAAAACAGTGTGCAGCTCTTTATGCAAACGTTTAACAGTCTTTCGATTCAATTAAAAATATTTAATTGTCTTATGCATAGATTCGAGTCGCATATTAGTGTTAATCCCTGTATGCTTTCTGTAGCAATATGCCCATTGTATACAGTTATTCATGTAATTGGTTTTGAAATATTCGCCGAAATTACGCGTATTTTTGTTATCTATTATTAGCTTGACAACAGTTAAAAGATCTACAGATACAGCATCATTGTTATGTCTTTTTTCCACCTACAGTCTCAATATTGTAACTGCGTTTTATATTATCAACATCCTTGAAAGTTAGCAAATCTATGCGTTGCAACGAATCCTGAATTTTGTCTCTGGCAGAATCTACAATCCTACAAGCCAAATAAACGTTTGTTAACAGTCATGCCTATATGAATAAATTAGTATATATATAATTAGTTACATACGTTTTATAGCCATATAAAAAATTTTGTCACCAAAATAAGTTCACTCACAACACACATGGAATGCGATGTTAGACATTATACTGTTTTCCATTACATCAGTAAAGTTCAACATCTTTGACTATAAAGTTTCTAGTTACCTACTGTTTCCCATAAAAATGGTAAAAAAGCATTGAACAAAATTTTAGAGCGTATATAACATACAAAATATAAATGTATTAAATAGTGTTTTGCCTCGTCTTGGTTACACCAGCTATTAGTTTTGAAGCAATTAGTCCTTTGTCATGATTTGAAATCCTTAAGTCTTGTAGATCTAAATTGTGGCCATAATGTGTTTTTTGAATATGCACATATAACTTATTTTCATTATGTCTCAGTTTTAAAACACTCGTGCAGGCACTACCCACTTTACAACTTGCCTGACTTTTCAGCTGCCGTACTCTCTGTTGCACGCTCCGTTTACCTACCAAATTAATATTGTTTTAAACAATAACAATAGGAAACATATATGTATACAGGAAGTCTCATTTCTAATTACCTGGTTTTGTTCGATTACAGTTATCATAAATAACTTTTTCTTCTTTACTGTTCCAAGTTCTAGCTACAGTGTAGTTGCATTTACTTTCCTTTTCATATTTAGTTTTCCAACTTTAAAAATCTTAAATTATGAAAAATGGATCAATTGTCTATAGGTAGGTACTCTGGGATAAAAAGAAAACTCACTACTATTACTGGTAAATACCCAGATAGCATTTGATATTCTATGAATATCCCAGCATGTTCAAAAAATATACAGAACATTGCGGGAATATCCTGGGAATATACATGGTTGAACATTCCTAACATGAATGTTCGTAGAATATACATGCATGTATATTCATCAAACTTCATAAAAAGTATATCCTAGGTATGTACATATGTGTACATATTGGGTATATCGACCGTGACAGGACAGGGTGTGGTCGAAACAATTCGTTTGTGAACGTATCCGTCCGTAAAAGTGGAAAAAACAATCACTGGACAAACTATTACGGTCTTTTGCGCGTTTAAATCGGTAAACACTCGTGGTTTTGACCAAGTTTGCCGTGAAAATGGATCTGAAGAGAAAACAAAGGAAGGTGTTGCGCACTACCTTCACCAAAACGGCAAAGGAAATCAATGATATATTATCAGGCCCAGATAGAGAGGTACGACTCATAAAGGTATCGCAACAGATTCTAGAGCAGAAGAGTAACGATTTAAGACAACTAGACCTTGAAATCTACGATCTTCTGCTAAATGCTGATGCTAGTGAAGACGAATTACTGTCAGAAATAGAGAGCAGCGACAGCTACATGAAACGCTTCATAGAATTGAACATGCAATGCAAGGATTATGTGCGGTGAAGAATGAGGATGAGGTAAATTCCGTGTCCAATAGTTCTACGAGCCACAGATCAGGTAGGAGGAAATTTAAATTACCGACTTTAGAGTTTAAAAAGTTTGACGGCAATATCAAGGATTGGCTGCCATTTTGGTCACAGTTTCAAAAGGTGCATGAAAACTTTGATATAGATTTAAGCGACAAAGTGGAGTATTTAATACAATTGACGGTAGCAGGTAGCAGAGCCAGGCAACTTGTTGACAGTTTTCCCGCCACAGGTAGTAATTACCATAAAATTATAGATTGTCTTCGCTCCAGATTTGGTCGTGAAGACTTACAGATCGAAATATATGTTTGGGAACTGCTCAAGTTGGTAATCAACAATACCGCCTCTAGTAATAAAATAGACCTCTCCCTTCTATATGATAAATTAGAGTCTTAATTGCGGGCATTGGACACATTCGGCATTACTTCCGAAAAATATGCCGCCATGTTATTTCCTCTGGTGGAATCTTGTCTACCATCAGTTTTATTAAGAGTTTGGCAGCGTTCACCAGATAGTCCAACTTCAACAACCACTGTGTCACAACTTTTGTCAAATACTCCAGCTGCTTCTACAATCGAAAACCGCCTCAACAGCCTTATGACATTCCTCAAAGGAGAGGCGGATCATGAACAGTATGTTGCTCTTGCGGCTGAGGGTTTTGAATTGAATAATGAGACCAGTAAGACTTTTGGGCGGGCACCAAGGCAAAAAGATCTGAAGTGAATTCTAGGCTTTCTTTGGCAACAGATTTGCTAAATGCTTCCGTTTCAAATAAATGTATTTTTTGCAAAACCCCACATGAGAGTGCGAGTTGTTTTAAGGCTCAAAAGCTG